GACCTAAACAATAATATAGGCCCCAATGATTTTTGCCACCCACATAAAAACATAATAAAGTTTCATGTTTTCTCTCATTTGGGTGTAGCTTGTTTTACCCTTGCAGAGGATATTATAAATTTGGTCAGAAGTTTGCAACGCAGTGAAGGAGACGTTTCCGTATATATATTCTTGATCAGGATCAAGCAGATCAAGTTTGAAAAGCGCCTATAGCTCCCATAGGAACAATAGGGTGAAATCGGTTAAAATTTGTTATTTTTCAGGATATTTATATCTTCGGCTTTCCGAAGTTTTTTTATTTTAGTTTATTAGACCCTTGCAGAAGGTATTATAATTTTGGTCAAAAGTGTGCAACGCAGTGAAGGAGACATCTCCGACCATATAAAGTATATATATTCTTGATCAGGATCACCTCCTGAGTTGATATAAGCATGTCCGTCTGTCCGTCTGTCTGTTTCTACGCGAACTAGTCTCTCAGTTTTAAAGATATCGAATTCAAACTTTGCACACACCCTTCTTTCCCTTGCACGCAGTATATAAGTCGAAACGGCCGGGATCGGCCGACTTTATCCTATAGCTGCCATATAACTGATTGGTCGGAAATGCCATAGCTTTGGTGTTTGTAAAGTTAGGAAGTTGGGATTTTCTATGGGTTTTATATTTGGCCAATCAATCCGACCTACCAAATTTCATAAGAATCGGCCGTCTATATCCTATAGCTGCCATATAACTGAACGATTGGAAATCCCATAACGTTGGTGTTTTTAAAGCTAGGAAGTTGGGATTTTTATGAGTGTTAAGAATGCATCATATGAATAATTTTGGAGAATATAATTTACAGAATATTCTGCAAGGGTATTTCAACTTCGGCTCCGCCCGAAGTTAGCTTTCCTTTCTTGTTCTAGCTTATTTTTTCAAAAATCTAGCTTTTACAGGCGTTCAAAACCTGGCAACACTGGGCGCAACCTTCTTCAAAATGCGCCTTTTTGCGACTGAATGACCAAACTCGTGCAATGAGTGTGCGAGCATCAAAATGAGAATATGAATGAGAGCGCAAAAAAGAGAGCGCACACGAAGCGTCAGGGGCCTGCTGCTAAAAGCCCTGTGTCCATTTTCTTTGTATGAAATGACCAGTCTATAACGAAGCTTGGCTCTGCTGTCATTCGTAAACTTATTCAGAAGAAAATAAGAATTACAAGGAACGATAATCCCCAGTTCTAAATCAATGTATTATATATCAAACTATAAAATGCATAAACATTTTAGCGTATTATGTTATTATTATAATACGCTATAAATCCTTATTTCTTAAATAAAGCTTATCACTGCTGAAAATTCCACTGTTTCTATTTTGTCGCTATTTTGTTGGATTTTTTTATTTTTCTCCACCATTTTGCAATAAAACTTTAATCTTTGCAGTGTGCCTGCATTTTCGAGAGTTCATCAAAATTAAGCGTGCTACGGTCGTACTGTCAATCAGCTGAGTTTGTTGACAAGCAGTTAAAATTAAAAAAAACGTATTTGCGGGAAAGAGCCTTTAAAACTCCTGCAATCGACTTTTACGGGTTTTTTGATTTTTTCTCTCCATTTTTTTAATGTTCAGTGAGAAGCGCACAACAAAAGATTAAATTTACTATTAGGTTCACCCAAAGTTCATTTTAGCAGACTGGCAACGCTATAAAATTTTCTGGTATTATTTTCGTCGATCTGAGTACCGAGGTCAAAAAAAGCCAGACAATCTTTTTGGACAAGTTATCTGAACAGAAATATATAAAGCCTAGTATCCAGATCGACAAACGATTACGCTAGCGTAAAAACTTTAATCTTTCCAGTGTGACCAAAAGTTTGAGAGTTCATCAGATTTAAGCGTGCTATGGGCGTACTGTCAATCAGCTGGGTTTGTTGACAAGCAGTTAAAATTCAAATATCGTATTTGCGGGAAAGAGCCTTTAGAGATATTATCAAATACCTTGGCATGACAAGTCTGCCGCTGTACAAAGAAATTGTTTTTACAATACAATTTAAATTTAACAGTTGTTTTTTTTAATGTACTGATAATTATTTGCTAATTTAAAGTTCATAGCTGCACTTATATTGTTTTTTTTCGTACATTCTGGACCTAAAAAACATTTTGCTCTGACAAGAGGCACCCCAGATAGTATTAATGTTATTTTGTCCTCACATATAAACACCTGCAATCGACTTTTGCGAGTTTTTTGAGTTTTTCCCTCCATTTCTTATAATGTTCAGTGAGAAGCGCACGCCAAAAGATTAAATTTTTTAATCTTTTCGCTAGGGTTCACCCAAACTTCATTTCCACAGACTGGCAACGCTATGGATTTTTTCTGGTATTTTTTTCGTCGATCAGGAGACCGACGTGAAAAAAAGGCCCGACGAAAAGTGAACGCCAGCTGTTTGCCTCTCGCTCTCTCTCATGACTAGCGTACGGTTTACGTCGAAATGGATACTAGGCTTAAATAAATAAATACTGTATGGTTGGCGTTCGGAAAAGTTTGCTCATTTTGTGAAACAACTTTTTATAAGATTTCACCAACAATTCATAAAATATTGGTTAATGGTTACCAGATTAAGGGGGTAAAGTTAATTCAGTGCAAAATCGGCCATTTTTAAAGAATTTTTATTGGCGCTGAGACAACCCGTATAGTGTCAGCTCAATTTTCGTTTTTGGCATGTGATAGGGCAACATTTAAACAACATGTGTGAATTTTTTCATCCAAAAATATTAATAATTGAGTGAGATACAGGCTAACTCCAGCGGCGCCTCGAACGTTTTTTGCGGTGTACACGATAACTGGTCACAGAATTATCTGATTTGAAAAATCAAATTGCATTAGTTAAAGGACAAGATTCCTCAGGTAACGCTGTCGAGTTTTTATTTTTTTTTTCGATTTTTTAAGGCACTTGAAAGTCAAAAACCCCGATTTTCGCCCAAAACGTCGAGCTTGGTTCCACTAGGATTCTTAAGCGAAATGCCTCTGGAGCAACAAAGTTTACAAAAAAGATAGATTGATCGCATTTAAGGAAAAATAGTCTGCTCAATTATATGGCTAATCTATTTCACAGAGCTATAGATTCCTCGGATCCATTATTGTCGAATATTTCTCTAAAGGAAAGAGAAAGAAAACAAAACACTTCTCAAAAGAGGTATTAAGTCTCTTGGACCTTTCGTCTACGGCTGAAAATGAAAACGAAATAATATTTTATATAAATCTACTATCAATCAGTTTGCACGGCCGGTAAGCGTGGGCGTGGTCGCACTGCCCAATTTTTTTATCACAAATTATTAATGTCACAAAAATAAAATAAGCGAGTTTGTAATTTTTCGACTTTATGCCAAAAAAACGGCATCTGGACCATAGTGCGCTGGCGAAATTGTTTTTCGATCTGAGTACTAGGCTTGACTGTTTTTACGCATTTTAAGTACATATATGATGGTCAGTCATTGCCAACGGACAGCATTTTGAAGACAAGCTGGAATTTTTTTTTTCTCTGACTCGTCAAACAGCACAGAATGTTAGCACTGACAGTAGTCAGTACTAGTACTCAGATCGACAAACGAGTATGCTAGCGTAAAAACTTTAATCTTTCCTGTGTGACCAAAATTTTGAGAATTCATCAGAATTAAGCGTGCTACGATCGTACTGTCAATCAGCTGGGTTTGTTGACAAGCAGTTAAAATTCATATATGGTATTTGCGGGAAAGAGCCTTTAAAAGATATTATCAACTACCTTGTCAAGACAAGTCTGCCGCTGTACAAATAAATTAAAAAACAACACAATTTAAATTTAACAGTTGTTTTTTTAAATTTACTGATAATTATTTACTAATTTAAAGTTCATAGCTGCACTTTTGTGTTTTTTTGTACATTTTTGAACTAACAAACATTTTGCTCTGACAAGAGGCACCCCAGTTAGTATTAATGTTATTTTGTCCTCACATGTAAACTCCTGCAATCGTCTTTTGGGGGTTTATTTGATTTTTTCCTCCATTTTTAAAAATATTCAGTGAGAAGCGCAGGCCAAAAGATTAAATTTTTTAAGCCTAGTATCCACTTCGACGTAAACCGTATGCCAGTCATGAGAGAGAGCGAGAGGCAAACAGCTGGCGTTCACTTTTCGTCGGGCCGTTCGTTCATTTCAGGTGGTTGGCAACGCGAAGTAATTTTCTGGTATTTTTTCGTCGATCTGAGGACCGAGGCGAAAAAAAAAGTTGACGAAAAGTGTACGCCAGCTGTTTGCCTCTCGCTTTCTCTCATGACTGGCGGACAGTTTTCGTCGATCTGAGAAACACAAGCCCACACAAATGAAATTGTTGTTGGCTGGCTCGGTCTTATCAGCAGTGAATATTGACTGAAATACGAATGTGTAAAATTGTTTTGTAAATATTCTGTCCTGCAAAGCTTTATACAGTGGCTCACAGCTTATTTGAACCACTTACTATCAATAACTTTAACAGCCTATAAAAACAAGAGTAAATGCAACAATTATTTTCTTGAGCCAATAAAAATAATATGCTAATTTATTCTGAAGGATAATTTAAATTCCAAATTTCAATTTATCCGAAGAAATAACTCAAAGCACACGCCCGTTATAATGTAGTCTTGGTTCATCTGGAATCGTAACCACTGTATGTTTTTGCCAGATCAGACATACCCGTTACCTAACATTTTAATTCAAATCTCCGAAATATCGTTCAAAGCGTAATTTTGTAAACTAAATTATCAAAAGTGGCTCCAGAAAAAAAATATTTATATTATTTTGAATGGCCACGAACTTTATAGGGATTTGTAAAATAGTTCAATTGAGCTATGACCTTTTTGTAATTTTTTCAACAATAATTCTTACAAATATTTTTAAATACTTTGAAGAAAGGAGCCACTGGTTTAAATGTAGGTTTTTATTAACCATGCTCTTCACAACCCTGCTTAATTTTTCTTAAAATCTTTTTTTAAACAAGTTAAGGATATAAAAAAAATGTTACAAACAAGTATTTTGAGGTCAATATTAAGGTAGCCTTCCAATAACACGGAAGAGTAAAGCTTTAAAAGCTGCTTTTGGAAGCTTTAAATCCACCTTTCGTTTAAAGCTTAGCCGTCAGTTGATATTCCTTCAGTCAGCGTTTGTTTAGTGTACATATATAATGTCGCTTCTTTTTGTGTAGATATAATAAATAATAATATAAACGAGAAGTTTTTGGATAAACGGCAACATATTTCGGATGGCAATTTGGAGCAGCTGATAAAATTTCTAAAGTAAATACAAATTTACATAAGTAATTATAATTAATCATTTCCACTTCTATTTAGATGAGTTATAATAAAAATGTTTTTTTTTTGGTGCCACTTCATTATTTTGTTTTTTTCTATAAATAAAAGTCTTATAAATATATATTATTTATTGCAATTCGTTTGCAAATACAAAACTGCTTACTTATTCCTGTGCGTATGTTCATTTGTATGACACGCATGATTCGTACGAATCATACATACTTATGTACATACATATGTGCATACATTATACAATTGTTTGAAGAAATATTTGCAATCATTAATGTGTATAATAATCATACTACGTTATAATACTTATTTTAATATCCCATTTAATCTGACGTATTGTGCTTGTGTGTTTACGTACAGTGGCGTGCAAGTCTGAGTACATGTTTGCAACTATTGACTTTGGGCCCGCATAAAAAAGTTATTAGTAAAGTAAATGAATCCAAATTTTTTGTGTTTTTTCTTTTAATATTTATTAACAAATCCTTATACAAAAGATAACAAAATAAACTAATTGGTTTCCTTAAGAAATAAAAAACAAAATAAACTCGCATGTACTCAGTTATGCTCAATTTGAATTTTTCAACAAAAGTTGCACAGCTGATTCAATTGAAAGCTTAATTACCAAATTTTACCGTTTGTTTTTGAGAAGCTTCTATTTTAAAGTTCTTTATGAAAGAATTTAACTAAAAACATACAAAATCTCACGTGTTTTTGCTGTTTTGCATAAAAAATAAAAAATGAAGAAATTGTCAAGAGACGTTGAAGATTCGGTAGTAAACCTAACAGAAAATGGATGTTCGACACGAATAATATCCAAAAGTTAAAAATCAGCCAATCAGCAGTATTCGTGTCCAAAAAGGCGCGACGCGGTACCCAAGGTACAGACAAGTGGTCCACGTCGAATTTTGACTGATGCAGATGCAAGTCTTATGATCCAAAAATTAAAAATGAGAAAATTGTAGACCCAAGGATGCATCCGCAGCCATAGGTAAGCCCGTCAGCCAGTGGACAGCGTGTCGAGCACTCAGGCGCATTGGATACGTCTCAGAAGTGAAAAAGAAGAAGCCGGCCTTGTCCAACAAAAATATAAAAGCGCGACTAAAATTTGCGAGGGCGCATAAAAATTGGAAGTTGGACGACTGGAAAAAAGTTATATGGTCTGATGAATCTAAATTCAATCGATACCAGTCGGATGGTAAACAATATTGTTGGAAGAAGCCTGAAGAGTCGTTGCAGAAACGAGAAACCGTGAAACATGGAGGAGGAAGTGTCATTGCCTGGACCTGTTTTACTTGGTGGAGCGTTGGACCAATTAAGAAAATAGATGGAATTATGAAGAAGGAAGACTATCTTGATATTTTGCAGATCCATCTTTGCATTTTGTTGACAAATGTGCATATAAGGAGAGTGACATCACATTCCCACAAGATGGGGATCCAAAGCACACTTCCAATATCGTCAAAGAATGTAAAAAAAACATTTCAAGTTAATGGAGTGGCCAGCGACTCAGTGCGATAGTGAAAAGACGATTGGGACTCTACGAATCGGTACCAGCAAACCAGCACGAGTTGTGGCAACGAGTTCAGCAAGAAAGGAGATCTATTCCAAAAGAAATTATACAAAATTTGGTAGAAAGTATGCCGAATCGAATAAATAGCGTAATTAGAAATAAGGGTCTTTGGACCAAGTATTAAAAATAAGCGTTTGTTGAAAATTCAAATTGAGCATAACTGAGTACATGCGAGTTTATTTTGTTTTTATTTCTTAAGGAAACCAATTAGTTTATTTTGTTATCTTTTGTATAAGGATTTGTTAATAAATATACAAAGAAAACACAAAAATTTGGATTCATTTACTTAACTATTAACTTTTTTATGCGGACCCAAAGTCAATAGTTGCAAACATGTACTCCGACTTGCACGCCACTGTATGTAAATATTTTTATGAGGATCCACAATGCGTCGAGTTACGATGTTAAAGCCTAGTATCCAGATCGACGAAAACCGTACGCCAGTCATGAGAGAGAGCGAGAGGCAAACAGCTGGCGTTCACTTTTCGTCGGACGTTTTTTTCACGTCGGTCCCCTGATCGACGAAAAAAATACCAGAAAATTCCATAGCGTTGCCAGTCTGCGGAACTTTGGGTGAACCCTTGCGAAAAGATTAAAAATTTTAATCTTTTGGCGTGCGCTTCTCACTAAACATTAAAGAAATGGAAGGAAAAACTCAAAAAACTCACAAAAGTCGATTGCAGGTGTTTACATGTGAGAACAAAATAGGATACTAGGCTTAAGCCTAGTACTCAGATCGACGAAAACTGTCCGCCAGTCATGAGAGAGAACGGTACTCAGACCGTCGAAAAAAATACCAGAAAATTGCATAGCGTTGCCAGTCTGATGAAATGAACTTTTGGTGAACCCAAGCGATAATAATAAAAAATTTTATCTTTGGGCGTGCGCTTCTCACTGAAGCCTAGTATCCAGATCGACAAACGAGTATGCTAGCGTAAAAACTTTAATCTTTCCAGTGTGACCAAAATTTCGAGAGTTCATCGGATTTAAGCGTGCTACGGTCGTACTGTCAATCAGCTGGGTTTGTTGACAAGCAGTTAAAATTCAAATATCGCATTTGCGGGAAAGAGCCTTTAAAAGATATTATCAAATATTTTGGCAAGACAAGTCTGCCGGTGTACAAAGAAATTAAAAAACAATACAATTTAAATTTAACAGTTGTTTTTTTTAATTTACTGATAATTATTTGCTAATTAAAAGTTCATAGCTGCACTTTTGTTGTGTTAAATGTACATTCTGGACCTAAAAAACATTTTGCTCTGACAAGAGGCACCCCAGATAGTATTAATGTTATTTTGTCCTCACATGTAAACACCTGCAATCGACTTTTGTGAGTTTTTTGAGTTTTTCCCTCCATTTCTTATAATGTTCAGTGAGAAGCGCACGCCAAAAGATTAAATTTTTTAATCTTTTCGCTAGGGTTCACCCAAAGTTATTTTCCCCAGACTGGCAACGCTATGGAATTTTCTGGTATTTTTTCGTCGATCAGAGATCGACGTGAAAAAAAGGCCCGACGAAAACTGAACGCCAGCTATTTGCCTCTCGCTCTCTCTCATGACTGGCGTACGGTTTACGTCGAAGTGGATACTAGGCTTGAACATTTAAAAACATGGAGGGAAAAAATAACAAACCGTAAAAGTCGATTGCAGAAGTTTTCTTGTGAGGGTCTTTTGGGGTGCCTCTTCACAGACAAAGTGTTTCTGAGGTCAAAAATTTACGAAAAAACTAAATAAAAAACTTAGAAAAATCGCCTGTTAGAACTAAGTGCAGCTATGAACTTTAAATTAGCAAATAATTATCAGTAAATAAAAAAAACAACAGTTAAATCTAAATTGTATTGTTTTTTAATTTCTATGAACAGCGGCAGACTTGTTTTGCCAAGGTAGTTGATAATATCTTTTAAAGGCTCTTTCCCGCAAATACAATTTTTGAATTTTAACTGCTTGTCAACTAACCCAGCCTTTTTTTCACGTCGGTCCTCAGATGGACGAAAAAATATCAGAAAATTGCATAGCGTTGCCAGTCTGCGGAAATGAACTTCGGGTGAGCCCTAGCGAAAAGATTACAAAATGTAATCTTCTGGCGTGCGCTTCTCACTGAACATTATAAGAAATGTAGGAAAAAACTCAAAAAACTCGCAAAAGTCGATTGCAGGAGCTTACATGTGAGGACAAAATAACATTAATTCTATCTGGGGTGCCTCTTGTCAGAGCAAAAATTTTTTTAGGTCAAGGATGTACGAAAAAACACAATAAAAGTACAGCTATGAACTTTAAATTAGCAAATAATTATCAGTAAATTAAAAGAAACAACTGTTACATTTAAATTATATTGTTTATTAATTTCTTTGTACAGCGGCAGACGTGTCTTGGCAAGGTATTTGATAATATCTTTTAAAGGCTCTTTCCCGCAAATACGATATTTGAATTTTAACTGCTTGTCAACAAACATAGCTGATTGACAGTACGACCGTAGCACGCTTAAATCTGATGAGCTCTCAAAATGTTGGTCACTCTGGCAAGATTAAAGTTTTTACGCCAGCATACTCGTTTGCCCATCTGAATTCAGTCTTTAAAATAGAAACGCAGCCAAAATGCCAAAAAAAAATAATGCGCTAACCCCAAAAAATACTAAAATCTAAAAAAGTCGTATGTGCAACAAATACTTTATTTATATTTTTGTCCATATCTTTTTATGGAAAGCGTTTTCTGTTTGGCTTTTTTCGTCATAAACTTCACAAAATATATATATTTGGAAACATAACCCATTTCTTACCATTTTAAAATGGTTACTTATTTAAAATTGGCATATGTCAGTTAACCCTCCTTGGAACGAATACTTTTGTGACTCACTGTAAGTAGATTTTTGGTCACATTTGATGAATTTTTAGGGGAATAAACCATTTTTTAAGAATTTTTTGACGTACTGATCAACTACACTAGTACTATTACCACAAGCACAAATATTTTAAAGGTAATACCAAATGGAAGGCAATAATAATAATCTTTACTTCCACAGTAATATTAAAGCAAGGAACAGCTGTTCGTAATGTCAGCAAGCTAATCATGTTAAATAATAGATAGCTGACTATATTGGAAACTAGAAAGAGTGTATACAGTATATTATGGTGTTATCGAGCTAAAGGCTAGTATTCAGATCGACAAAAACTGTCCGCCAGTCATGAGAGAGAGCGAGAGGCAAACAGCTGGCGTTCACTTTTCGTCAACGTTTTTTTTCACATCGTTCCTCAGATCGACGAAAAAAATATCAGAAAATTGCATAGCGTTGCCAGTCTGCGGAAATGAACTTTGGGTGAACCCTAGCGAAAAGATTACAAAATTTAATCTTTTGGCGTGCGCTTCTCACTGAACATTATAAGAAATGGAGGGAAAAACTCAAAATACTC